AAATGATGTCAAAGATAATATTTTTTCTAAATATTGTTTTAATGATGTTTAAACTTGTCGCTGGACACAGTAGAAAAGAACTGATTGATTTGAAAAATTCTCCTCCTTGGAAATACCTCAGTGATAGATTAGTATTTGATCCGGCAACTGGAAATCACAGGACTATCGAATGTATGTTTAACGATGCACTTATATCAAATATTAACATAGAATTAAAAATTAAGGACGCTTATAATGGATATCAGTGTTCCTTAAAAATACGAACATATATATATGCTTTTTTACTTGTGAAATGTGGTTACATAGCTATTGAATGTGCTGCAATAATAATAGAAGTTAGAAATATAATTTTGAATGCTTTTGAAGCCATGAAAAATTGTTTAAAAGAAGTTAATAATCCTCATTATATAGCACTGCAAGAATATATTTTTAAATTAGAGGTTTGTAACATAGAGGAGATTTCAATAAAACTTGAAGATATGATCAACCACTTTTTGAATATACTAGACTTTACATTGCCACCATTACAACCTCAATTGATCAAAAAGAAACAAAAAGCTTTGGACATATTTCAAAAATTAAATTTTTTGAAGTCAACAAAAAAAATAGATGTACACAAAATTTCTTATTATATTAAAGAATTTCTGTTGCTATTAGGACAGCGTCATTTTCAATATATACTTTATTCGGGAGTAAAACAAAAAGTAGAAGTAATGGATATTTTAAATAAAATTAATGTACTAATAAACACTGAATACACGTAGGATTCATACGTGAGCGACATTAATGTTACTAACAACATTAATTATCTTTAATAATTAATAATAATTTCATTTGTAAAGGATAAATTTTAAAAATTAAAATTTTTACATTTAATAATTAATTAATCTAACCTTATTATTGATTATAATCAATTGTTAAAAAATTGAACAATAATTATAATTATTGTTCAACATTTATTGATAAATTTTGTTTTTTAATATAAACTATATTAATGCCGTTTAAAAATAAATATATATTATTTAGACATTTTATTTTATTGTTTGATTAAATCACGAGTAAAATATAAATCAACACTTTGAGTAAATATGTAGCCATGCAAATTATATAATACATAAATTAAAATATTTACAATTTATATTAATTGTTACAACATTTCAAAAAAACTAAAGCCTGTGACGCGAAATATTGAGTTGTTTGTTCTATAGTATTTTTAGCTGTCTAATATAATAAAAAAAATATAATTATATAAATACATTTTGCACTATACCATCTAACATATTATATGGATAGATATACAAGTTGATTTTTTTATCATAATCCACTCAAATACATACAGAATAAATATAATTTAAACATTTTTATTTTTGGTTATCTTTAGCTACACATTTTTCTCGAGATATTAAGTATGAAATACTATATAAGTTCATCCCTTATGCCTTGTAAGTGTGTCAACTTTGTTTTTTTAATGGCAACACATATTTTGAATTTAATAAAATATTTGAGTTTTTAATGTAATAGTAAATAACTATGAATTTTTAATATAACTTTATTAGTTTATAAGATATAAACATTTAAAGTTTCAAATTTTTGAGTTAAGATACATATATAATTCACGAGGGATTACAAATACAAGTAGCTAATTGGTTTTTTACGTGGCATAGTGATACAATTATAGATCATATCTGATAGTGATTAAAATCACTATCATAAGAAACACTTCAATGTAAATCTATAGATAGTGTTCAATTTTCAACAGTTAAGTTAAAAAAGTTCTACTTTTTATACAAATTTTAAAGTTTACAAAAAAAAAATTCTNCAATTTTCAACAGTTAAGTTAAAAAAGTTCTACTTTTTATACAAATTTTAAAGTTTACAAAAAAAAAATTCTTAACTTTGAAGAAGCAAAATTATCAAAGTAAGAATAAATTTATATTTAATGTAAGTTAGATTCATTTAAATTTTATATTTATTGATGGATTCATTACTAAGGAAAATTCTTGTAAAGTTTTTTTTTTTTTTTAAATAAACAAAAAAAATAAAATTTGAACACAAAAATAGCATTTTTTTAACTAAGACTTCCTTTTTTATGTAGAAGATAAGTTGTTGAGAAAAATTTTTTTTTTTAATTTATTGTACGTAACATTAACTTTAATTAGATATATGTTTAAGGACCAAGTATTTTTAGAACAGTTTCAAAAGTTAAATTGAAAAAATTGAGTTTTGTAAAAAAGTTGCTATTTTGATTCCACCCCTGTGAGCAGGTAAAGGGTCAAATTTTCAAAAATGTTATATCAAATAAAAGAAAATCACTTAAGGCTTCAATTAAAAAAATATATTTCAATTTGTTCGTTTTTCAATAAATTATGACAATTTTTAGAAAAAAAGTGGAAAAATGTCAAAAATTACCAATTTTAAAAATTTTGGAAACGTTTTCAAAAGTTAATTTGATAAGGTTATCTTTTCATGTAAAAGTTAATAATTTGAATTTCTCTTGTTAATGTTCAGACTTTTATAAAAACATATTTAAAAATGTAGGAAATTGTAAAGGTATAAAAAAAATTGTTTTGATAAATCCATTTTTAAAATTTAAGAATCATCACCCCTACTGTTTATGTTCTAACTAATTTCTAAGTTCTTGCCTTATAACCTTTAACCCCTTCCTTTGACAATTATTAATAATTTATTCTCTCACTATACTTCTACAAACTTTCCCAACTCACGTCTAATTTTTACTGATGTGTCTGCCTCATTATCCAAAACAGGCTGTACTTACTACATAACAAGTCTTAATATCTCATTTTTCACCAACCTGCATCCTTTTTCTTTCTCCTTTACTACTGAATGCATTGCTATTGTCAATGCATTTCTTTACATTTCTGTTTCTCTAGATATCTCTTTTCTCATTTGCTCAGATTCGCAGGCTTGTCTTCCGAATATTAATTTTAACCCTTTTGATTCTCAAACTTCCTCTATAATCCTTTCAATTTGAGCACTCCTCCACAAAATTTTAACCTCTGGTAAAGAAGTTCAATTCCATTGGGTCCCTAGCCATGTCGGAATCCGTGGTAACGAGTTCGCTGATTCTTTGGCTAAATGTGCATCATCATTCCTATATTATCATTCCTTTCTTCTTCCATATTCTGATGCTCTGCATTACTTTAGATTTACCCNCATATTCTGATGCTCTGCATTACTTTAGATTTACCCTGATGGAAGCATGGCTTACCAAGTGGTCTTCTCTCCCTAACAGCTTTGCCCGATGGCATCGGTCCATCATACCTAGCCCTTCCAAAATTCTGTAGTTTCATCAACTAGATCTTGCAATATAATTTCTAGCTTTTTACGACTCAAACTGGGTCATACCTTTTACCAGTATTCACTTACAAATTAAACGTGAACTCTGACCCTTTTGTCATTTATATGAGAATGAAGTCCTCGGAGATTTTCCTTACTATTTATTGAATTGCTCTTCCTTGGCTTCAAGTAGGTGTCTGCTTATAAAATTTTTAGAATCCAATGGAATTTCCAATTTTGTTTCTCTGTTGTACTAAATTCCCATTCTATTCCCGTGATTACTATCATCATTTCTTTTATATTGAGCGCTAGTTGTACTATTTAACAACTTTATTATATATTATAATTTATTGTATATATTTTACTTTTGTTATACTAATTAACACCAATTATTCCTGTAATTCAAAATGCGAATGTATACTATTTTATTTAATTCTTATGTAATTGTCGAGCTATAATATTGTCATAATAAAAGTTAATAAAAAAATAAAAATTAAGAAATGTCAAATTATACCGACTTTAAAAGTCGTCATATTTTGTAGAATTTACCCCATTTACGAGAAACGAGCGAAAAATTTACAATTTTTGAGGGAAATGTATTCAACTAAATATGATTTGTGATCGATTGACGTATCGTTAAGAAAAATCGGTCAAGTAAGAGCTGAGAAAAATTAGTGACATACACAAAAAAAAAGTAAACACTTCATGGTAAAATTAATACCTTCTTCGCTTCGTATCGAAGCTAAAAAAAATAGTAGCACAGTGGGTTTACTTTACAGTGAAGATTTGGCATAGTTGTGATAATTATAGATAAATGTGGCTAAAATCAGTATTATAAGAAAAGTTTAAATGAAAATTAATAGATTTTGTTTAATTTTAAGTACTTGGTGGATTGTTCTAAAAACAACATCAACTCCTATTTCTTTAATTATATTTTGATTAGTATTTCTTTGATTTTTAAGTATAATATGTGAATAAATACTTGTTATAGTAGTTATATTTAGTAACAAATTGATATTCAATCATTGAATAATGTAATTTTTACGGAGACATTTTTTAAGTAATAGTATATTTTGTTACTTTTATGATAAATGTGTATGAAAATTGAAAACTGTGTAAAATTTCTTATAAAAATTTTTTTTTGATAATCATAATTAAGTACAAAAAAAATTTAAAATTAATATTTAATGAAAGTTCTTCGTCAAACATGTAATGGATGAATTAAAAAATTGTGTAAAATTTCTTATAAAAATTTTTTTTTGATAATCATAATTAAGTACAAAAAAAATTTAAAATTAATATTTAATGAACGTTCTTCGTCAAACATGTAATGGATGAATTAAAAAATTATATAGTGTATATATATTCCTATATTATCCCAATGAAAAATTGGGAAATATTTCCCAATATTAANTTATCCCAATGAAAAATTGGGAAATATTTCCCAATATTAAAATATTAAAAAATTCCATAAAGAGTTTTCTTAATATATAATTATTATTTTAATAAAAATCGAATAGCTAATTAAAAAAAAGGCATTTTTAAAGTATGTTTCTATAAACTTATTGAATTATTTAAAAAGAAAGCTGAGTAGTACAATGCAATTAATTAATAGTCATATTACAAAAACACCATGATAAATATTTATTAATTAACAAATATATTTGTTAATTCATAATTATTTATAGAACACTAAGTGTTGTACACATGTCTAATTATTATTAATAACTTTAAAACACTATTTTTAAGAAAACAGATAATATTAATATATTTAAAAATGCAATTGATGTTTAATATTTAATTGATATGTACATATCAAAATATAAAAAACTCAACAATCCTTATACAATGAAGCCGTCGAATTCCGTTGGAGAGCGCTACATATTTCGATAAGAAAAAAAAATTATAACATCCGGCAGATCATTTTTACGAGAACTGGATGACTTCCAAGTATGTAAACGATAAAATCATAATATTAATTTGCACCTGGTTATTAATATCATATAAAACTCAAATTTTGTAGATTTTGAATAAAATTTCGTTGCTTCTTAAATTCTGAAAAAAAAACAACATTAATTTATAAATAACTGACTCTCTATAGTGCATACACACATCCGTGCTCATATTATATAAAATGTAATACTACTTCAGTAGCCAGATATAAGTAAGGTACCGACCAATTTACGGGACCTCCCTTTGATTACGCCTCGATGGCGATTTTTTTCTCTAGGGAACGCGAATAATCTTGGCATCGTTTTAACGACCTTTTACTTCCCCCAAGCTGCTCGTTCTTTGAGTTTGCCAATTTTTGCAATTGGCTAGTTTCTGATAATTCTTCATCGTGTATCCATTCTTTTCGATAGCAATGTACGTGACGTTGTTCGAAGGATTAAAAGAAAATAAGTACATTGTGTTTGGTTTTGCGATGTCATGTTTGTTGAAGCAGCAAGTCACTACGCAATAAAATTTAACAAATACATGAAATCAAAAAATATACTTTACTTAAATTACATTTATTAGTTAATTATTAGTGAACCAAATTGTACTGTAAAATAGTATAAGGCTATTACAGAGTAAAATTTCATATATAGATAATTGTTAATCTTAAATTTTATTTTATATTTATATCTGGAATGGTTATGAATGATACGTTTGATAACATATGATGACAATTGTAATTAATACTAATTATAATTAACAAAATAAAAATAGTTATTTTAAGCATCCTGAATTTAAAACAATACAAATTAAAAATAAATAAAATTTGAAAATTAATAATCTCAATAAATTAAATCATCACCAAATTCAAATAAATTGATGTTTTTTTTTTTGTAAAATACTATAGTGTAAAAAAAAAGAAAAGTTATATAATTAAATAGCCAAAATTACACTGCTCTAACACTATCTTTTTCATCGGTCAAACTAAATGCATTGTCTGTATAGTGATTTAATCAATTTATAATTTTATTATTGTTGTATTATATTCTGATTGTTTTTAATTTTCTATCAAAACTGCTTATAAGTATATATACATTCCATATAGAATAATTACTTTATTGATAAATAATCTTAAATAAGAATCCAGACGCGTATTGCAATAATAACTTTATTAGCATTATATCTATGCACTTCATTAGCTCTATCTTAATAAAACCGGATGACCAGGTGATCAATCTGGAAATATAAAATTAATAAATGTGTTAAAAACACAAATCGCTATGCGGAACAAATAAAGCACTAAATCAAAAAATTCGTATGTGATATAATAAGATTTTTGAATTTAGGTTTTACTCTTGTTATAATAACCTTCATTAAATCGTCGACAATTTGGTTTGGATGAGAGTTGATAAACATATGGCGTGTAATCAGAGAGTAATTTTTATATATGATTTCCTGAAAAGTGAGAAAAAGCGACTTTTTCTTAAATACTTTTAAATACTAATTTGCAACTTAATTTTTCTCGCCTTACATTTTACTAGGGTTATCAATAATTAAAGAAAGAGGTCATTTGTTACAAACGACGAGAACAATAGAAACCCATTTTCTTACTTACTGAACACACTATATAATAAAATCACGGGTTATTAATAATTTTGAAGTAATGATATAAAAATTCGTTTTCCAAAACTGCAATTTTAAATAGCTTCTGAAACAATATATGAGTGATTTTTGGATTTTATGGGTTATATGACCAAACTGTAAAATACATAGCAAAATTTTAACAAATCACTGATCTTATGTGCGATTGAATGTGAACTATGTTAAATGTTGAGTACCTGATTATCAATGAGAGACTTCAGTTAACGAGTAAATATATTTTTTCTGCAAAATACGTAATTAGGTTTCAAGAATTCATCTAGTAAAAATTATAGCAATTTTTTACAGTGTGTCAATCATAGTTTTATCTTTCTATGTCATTTGAAAAATATTGTAAGTGTTCCCGGAAAAAAACTACAATTTTTGCACACATTACTGTGCGTCCGAGACTCGATCGTAGCAATCGCACTGTACATAATAATAAATGAGAACACACGCTACGATGTTGATTATGATGGTAATGATACAAAAAAATATAATATAACACAATTGTTCTCCGATGTGGTGTCCTGCGGTTCCAGAAAGACCTTATTGAGCGAAACGCCATTATTTAGACAATACTCACAGCAGCACAACACTACCATTCACGGTTTAATGGTTTGGTAGCGTTTCGGCATCTCAGTGCGCCGGGAAAAAGAGCCATTGAAGCCATTACACGAATGGTCAATACGAGCATAGATATGCTTTAATGCGTTTTTCTTTCTGATCGATAGATTTATGTTGCCGTATTGTTATTAAACCATTAGAGTTACTTTCATACGTATTCACAGTCCTCCCCATCCGTTGAAACCGCGACACACTAACGTGTTGTGCCTACGGCGGCGGCTTCACTTGAATTCACATGATTATTTTAAGACGGCGTTCAAACGCTGTAACGTTAATGTAATTCCTGAACGTTAAACATTTTTAATACTATTAGTATTTAGGCAATAATAATTATACTTGTATATTGTGTTATATTTTTCAAATAAAATGATTTTTGCAACATATATCGGCAAAAAAACTAATTTTATCTCGACCAAGCCGCAGGCAAGTTGACGACATTGTGATGGCGTCATTCCCTTGTACCCGACCCTATCGAGATCGAATTTCATTTACAATAAAACTCGTTGCACTATTTCTACAAACTACTCTTTAAAAATAACAACAGCAATAAAAGATTATTTTCGAGTTATAATAACACCATGTATTGAAAGCTATAAAAAAGAAAGATTGAGTTATTAATCGTTGCATATTATTTTTTTTCCAATTTTCTCGTTAAATAACATTTCTAATCAAAATTGTTAATGGCAGTGTGTTTTGTGTATATTTTGATGTACCGGTTTAAAGTTAATTTAGGTCAAAAAGCATATTTTATAATTACAGATAGGTTATTATATAATGTATAACATATTAAAAGATAAATGTTTAATTGAAAAAATATCATAAAGTTATATCAGTATAGTATTTGTCAACATCTATCAACAATGCAACATATGGTGTTATTATCCAACTGAATATAGAATCACTTTATTTTTGGGCAAACACGAATACGTATAAAGGGCCGCATAATGACCTTGGCCAGGTTTATTATAAATAATGTTTTTTTTAAAAACAATAACCAATTTAAAACATAAGAAAACAGTTTAAACCGTCCATAAGACTAATGCAAATATTGAAATTTTTAATGTTTCAAACATTGGTTATTTAAAACGTAACAACACAGGCTCTAATTCTAAATTTTAGTTTTTCCATGATAGTTTTACGAGAGGGGATTGAAAAGTAATTTTTCTTAACGTATAATTTTAAAACTAATTAACATAAATTAATGAAATAAAAACATATTTATAAAAAATAATATTGGATTTGATTGCATTTATTTACTTTTCATCATAGCTTCCTCCTACTGGTTCATAGCTCGCCTTATAATAATTCTCAATATAGAAATACCTTTTAAAAACAAAGAATGATATTTTTATTATAAAATAGGGCAAATACATAATATTATTCTATATCTGTTATGATATAGAGTGATCTGTTTATCATATTTCAAAAAATGAAAATTATTTTGAGAATTCTATTCTGCCCTTTTTAATTTTTATAAATTTCTCAATTATTGGGTATTTTAATTTCATTTTTATACTATATGTTATTAGTTTCGATAACAATAAATGATCTAATTAAGATAATGACTAATAGATAACAATTTTTAAACAATTATCAAGTTGATATATTTTTAAAGTATAAACGGAGGGCTGATGAACAGGCTACTACTATTTTTAAGTTATTAACATTTTACTACGTAGACGAGAGAAATGTCTAATGATTTGTATACACACAGTGGCCCACCAGAATTTGACATCTATAATAACTTTTGATCTAATGAATATTTTACTTTACTTTTTTTTTAATAAAATATTAATCATTGAACCGTATTAAAATTTTGAACATAATTTTATTATGAACAAGATAAACACAAAGAAAAAATATGGTCTGTAGCACTTTCGAGTGAAGTTTGTTTTATATAATATACGTAATAATTTATGTTGACCGGTTCTCACTAAAAAAACATAAGGGAAAAAACATCTGTCGCATTTTTTCTCTTTGTTCGATATTCATTTTCATATTCGAATTGTTTATTTTGAGTCCATTATATCATTACGCCGTCGAGGGCACTCGTGTTGATTTTCACTCCGACAATTTCTTTGTGAAGTCAAGCAAACACAACAACGGAGTGACACTGACTAAAATCCTAAGTGTGCGAAGACAATATGACTTTGCACAAAAACAAATACCCATTATACTTTATAGCTTGGGTCAGTCGGGGACCCAAAAAAAATATTGCCTCTAGTGTGCACCACTGCGTTACTATAACAGAAAAGATTATATTCATTCAATGGGATCTTTCGACTTCTGTTTAAAAGCAGGATACGTGACAAGAAATTATGCTTGTTTGATGTATTCATAGAACGAGAACTACTATTATCAGATGAAAAAAACGCCTTTATTAATTAAAAATATTTGTATTAGAATTAAAATAAGAAATCTATCTAAAACCATGTTGATTTGAAACAATGCAACACCAACCCATAATCCATTATGATTCATATTATGTTAAATGCTTCACTTAGTCGCTAAATGCATTTTTTCCTAGTTTATGAGATGTTTCAGACACTCAACAACTGTTACCGACATTTTCATATTATATTACCACATGTGGCCAGTTAAAACTAATGGGTATACATCCACTTCAACGGACGATCCACGTAGTGTTTATTTTTGATAAAGTCTCAGTAATATGTTATTTGATACAACAATATATATTACTTGGTAAGGTAGTAGGTATAATGTATATTTGAATTTTCACACTACGCTTATTAAAAAAAAAAAAACATAAATAATTAAAACGGATTTAGAGTAAAATAAAGAAAGTTCAGTGATATTAGACTTCCAGGAAAGAGAGTGGAAACGTTTAAATTAATATCTTTGCGAACGGAAATATTAATATTATTTTAATTTATTATATTTTTTTATTTTTAATTTATTTAGTATGAAAAATATTTAAAATATGTGGATTGATCCAAAATGAATATTCGATATAATTTAGCCGTTGAAGAATCGACAAAAATATAACATAAAAATTCCAGATCAAAAATTCCATTTAATCATAATTATGTGTACAACAGCCATCCGCGACGGAAAACAAAATGATTCTGTCCTTGGATTACTCGTCGTTAATCCAAGATATATAACTGCAGATGGTTTCAAAAATTATAATTAAAACGCCATTGTAAAAAAGATAATAACAACAGCAGTACCCTGTCAGTTGTAATTTTACCCTCCCAGTGTCAAATAATGGCTAAAACGACCATTTACAGTGTTGGATAAAAAAGGTTCACATAAATCTGATAAAAATTATCATAACACTTATAGTCAAAAAGTAATTAACTCTAATAAGAATTTAGCATAACCCAAAATGCTTATTGTAACAAGTTCAATTGGATGTTTTTGTATATTTTAAAGAGAACTAATCATCAAATTGTAATTAGTTTAGTTAATTATCTTTTAAGAACTATGTTTATAATATTTTTTGAACAGTATAAAAGTTACTAAAATATTATTGAAAAACTTTTGATGTAATGAAAGTAACGAACAAAGTTTTATAAAAATTAAAAAAAAAATAAAGATTTATTAATGAGAAAAGTAACGTTGAAATTTTTTTTTATATATGGTATTTATAGCAGGATACCTGCTATCCTGAAAACAACATGTGCTTANAAAGTTTTATAAAAATTAAAAAAAAAATAAAGATTTATTAATGAGAAAAGTAACGTTGAAATTTTTTTTTATATATGGTATTTCAGGATACCTGCTATCCTGAAAACAACATGTGCTTATTTTTTGTGAAATTTTTAGTACATGTCTATCGGTTGTTATTTCAGGTGTCCAATAAATGTTCTTCATCGTGAGATTCAATCTCTAAAAGAAATAATATCTTTACCAGTTTTAACTTTAAACGCATTCCAGCCCATAGATACAAATTATTGAAGTTAAACGAATAGTTTCGATAGAAACAGACCTTTAGTCGAATATGTTTCCGGCTTACGACCAACAGCTTGTGCTCTAATTGTTATATATCCGTATAACACGTACTAACAGCATGGCATTTATTGATAATTGTCGGCAATTTGTTGGAAAACTGTTACGATATTACAACTATTACAACTATTAAAATTATTGTTATTATTCCCCACGCTGATTTTTCACCATTCTAGAATGTCGTACACCGAAATGTTATTGTGCTTGCTCAAAAACGATTCCAGTAATTAATATCCCATTATATCACTATAGTTATTGCACATAATATGCAAAAACGATTAATATTACGTTCTCCATAGCGAATTTATTTGCTACGGAGAAACCATCGCCGTTTAAAACGATACACAAACAAATGCGCTTATATTTCCTTTTATGGTTTTATTAGCTTGATTTATCGTTTTTAATATACACTGTACTTCCTCTAATTTCAAAGGCCATTGAGCGTTTTTCAGACCCTTTTGATAAAATCCCCCTATGCCGGTCACGCCGATCATCGGCAGCTTGAATATTTTTTCAAACCAACTTAGATATTCCACTTTTCTAAATACCTGATACAAAACCTCAATGCACATATCGATTATGAATTATTGTTTAAGATTGTCTAAGCTTTTTCCATTCGTCCTATAATAACTTCAACAGCCATATCGAATCAAATTTTTATTACGAACCGTATGTTTTTTATTTTATAGTCAACCATTTTACTGAAAAAAAAAACCTTCGGATTGCTTGAATAAACTAAATAACCTTTTCCAAACTTGTGAATGTTGTTTTTCTCGTATAGTATTTGAAACTCGGAGGGTATGGTATCTAAATGCGAAAATAGTTTTGGCTACGCATGAAAACTACATACTTACATTCGATGCCAATGCTATGTTGTCATTTAAGACTTTGTAAAAGAAAATTTTATTTGTGTTCCTGAACACGGCCATTTAAACAAATATACATAAAGTAAGACTCCATTTTGGGTACAATCACTTCTATATGAACATTTAGCATGACATTTTTTTGAAGTTTTTAATGGTTATAAAAGTATTTAAAAATCTTCAAATTTTTTAATTGTAAAACATTCGTATTTTACATTTAAATTAAATCGATTTGAATTACAAAGGACTCGTAACACGTTTACTACAGTGGCTGAATTCTAAGGGATTGTTCATTCTTGTCAGTTATTGCACATAAAAAAGTGCTAATTAAAATTGTTTTGCAAATA